AGATATCTATCCTGTCTATTTTTATGCTTTCCGAAAAAAAAAAAAAAAAAAAAAAAATTCTCTCGGCACGATTCGCGATGCCTTAAACGTGATGTTTAACGTGCGAACAAACAAAATAATAATAATAATAATAATAATAATAATAATAATAATAATAATAATGATAATAATAAAATAACTAAGAAACAAACGAGATAACAATGAGAAAAACGAGATCGAAATGTCGATTCATCGTGTTGTTCGATTGAGAACGGGCCTTATTTAAAGCTTTACGAGAATAAAATCAATCTTAATAATTTAATAATCAAGCTTTACGGTACTTAAATATACACAAACAACACATACACATTAATATTGTTAACCAGTGTAATGGGGCTATCACAATGCTTTTTACTATTCGCAAGTTGACAATAGGAATAAATGTCATCGATGAAATGAAAGAAAGGAAAATAATAAAAATAGAGAGAGCGAGAGAGAGAGAGAGAGAGAGAGAGAGAGAGAGAGAGAGAGAGAGAGAGAGAGAGAGAGAGAGAGAGAGAGAGAGAGAGAGAGATAGTGTATATCGCGTTAGAAGAGTATACACGTTTTACGCCTGGTAAATCGCGTACAATATAAAAATACGATCGTGATATAGAAACGGCAGAGATAGAGAAAGAGAGAAGTAAAACTCAACGGTAGATATTTTTCGACGACCGCGGATAGAGAAAGAAGAAAGATAGATAGATAGAATATCATGTGTTTGTCTGTAACAGTGCTCGAGGGAGATCATCGCCTAACAACACGCGCCTCGTGTCGATATTTCATTCCAAATATCATTTCATCGCGTTCGATTCTGGACAACTTTCGAATGTATCTCGTAAAAGAAAGAAAGAAGGAAGGTGGGGTGAGGGTTGGGCTAGGGGTTGGGGTGGAAAAAAAGATAGAGAGAAAAATATGAATTTATCGCGTTACGAACCGTCGAGCACTGATGGACAGACAAATGGATGGATAGATAGAGAAAGAGAGAAAGAAAAAAGAGCAAGCGAGAGAAAGAGAGAGAGAGAGAGAGAGAGAGAGAGAGAGAGAGAGCGGGAAGGGTGAGGGTGGGGAAAGGAAAAACAAAAAAGAAATACAAGGATCGTATATTTTAATACTTAAATCGTTAAATAAGACTAAGACCGCGGCCATCGTAACTTAAAGGGCCAGAAAGATCTTAAAACGAGCGTATATTTTAGAAAGCATGAGTTAATGAAATAATAAAAGAGTGAGAGAGAGAGAGAAAGAGAGAGAGTGTGTGTGTGTGTGTGTGTAATGTATGCTGATATACACGGAACATACACACAGTAAACGTATTATAGCGCATACTTTTTACAGTGATACTAGCAGTATGACGATGTGGAAGTATTAAAGTCTTATGTTTTTTTTTTTGTTTTTTTTTTTTTTGTTTTTTTTTTTTGTTTTTTTTTGTTATGACAATACAGAAAAAACATGTTATATTCCTGATGATATACGAATAAAACAAAATATAATAGAAAAATTATGTCTAATATTTTATCTATGTACTTAGGATTCGATCTTTTTCATTTATATCCTTGCCATCGAGTGATCCAACAGGAGTAAAACTCTTTTTCTTTTTTTTTTTTTTTTTTTTTTTTGTTTAAATTTGTAAGATTTCCTTTTTTTCTTTTTTTTTCTTTCATATGTGTTTACGTGATTCTTAGCATGTTTTATAGCCGTAAAAAAATATGACAACGCGTTGGGTGTATCTTTTCATAGATGTTTTTTCTTTTTTTTTTTTCTTTTTTTTTTTTTTTATATACGTCCGATGTAAAAGCACACATGTAGATATATAAAAAGATAAAAAAGAACGAAATAAATTTTCTCGGAATTCAATTAGTTGTCACGAAAAGAAGAGAAAAGCAAAGTAAAAAAGAAAAAAAAAAAAACAAAAAAAAAGAAAAAAAAATGAAAAGGAGCCAGACAAGCTTTTATCTTCTTACAAACGAAATGAGACTTTGTGTTAATAAGAAGAAGAAGAGAAAGGAAAAAGAGAGAAAAAAAAAAAGAAAAAAAAGAGAAAAAAGATTAAAGAATATAGGATATAGGTAAGGTAAGAAAGAGTAAGAAAGAGAGAAACTGTGAAAAGAGAGGAATTGTAAAAATCCAAAGGACTCTTTACCTATCGTTACCTAACCTTTTTCCGAGGAAATCCTTTCGATATCAGGAAAACGTTATCCGGGCGAATAAATACTTCAACGCACGGAACTTTATCGCTCGAACGAGCAACGACTCGAGCGAAATCTCAAAGGCTACCAAGAGAGTTCGGTGACTCTCGAACATTCGTAATAAAATTATCGTAGGTCGAGAGGGATCTCTCTCTGTTAGAGAAAGAGAATTAGACAGAGATAAAGATGTAGA